GGGGGGGGGGGAGAAGGGGGGTATGCAATAAAATTGTATATTCTTCCAAAGGATTAATAATATTCTGAAACATGTGCATTAAAACAACTAAAACTCTAAATGAATCTAAATAAGTTAAATGATTTTCTTTAAATAATATTGTTCTTTACAACTAATAGCTGCAACGATTCAGATTTATAAACGATTGATTTTTGCTTGGATTCTAAGCAAAATAAATTAGCAATTTCTAAATCAGTCGTTGGTTAAATCTTTCCCATTTTTTAAAATATTATTGGAGTTAAAAGTAAAAGCAGAGAACATTAAGGGCTTGCTACCTTAGAACATTTATCAACTCTGGATTACGACTAAAGACAAAGAGTCACGTGCACATGGGCACCACGCCGTTATGGGGCCCAGTGACCCAGTACAACAGCATAGCCTACGTGGGAGCAGGGGGCATAGGCCGCCTCTCTCTGTGCTACCAGTTCAAGAATTATTATTATTTTATTTTACGCATAAAAATATTACAACCGGAAAGGCGCATAACATTTGAGCAAATGATTCGCATGACATGAAGCCATTTCTTCACATTGCCTTGAAACTTTTCCTTAATAATATGCTGTGTGGGCTGGTTGATTTGGATAATCGCATCGATTTGTTTTTTATGTTTTTTTAAAATTCATTTCTTAGTTGATATAGTTTTAAATTTTTAGATAATATTATTCTTACAGTTCAAACGAAATTGATTTGTATTTTTTAAAAAAGTTTTGAATAACAGCTTTCCATGTGAATTTGAATTTAAGAGAGAAAGGGTGGAAAACTGAAGCCATTCGTTAATCTGACATCGTCGTAGAAATATTAAAAAATAACCAGAGACGTCCTGTGACTTTTTGAGGCTCCCTGCAGTTTAGTGAATTTTAAAATATTTTTCTTTTAATTCACAACACAACTTTGAACCCCTTGAACATCCGACTCCCCCATCCCCCACCCCCCCTCATTCCCTTTTGTAGCTATCATTGGTTTCAGTGCCCCTCGACAGCTTTGAAAACAAGCAACAGACTGGCGGGGAAAAAGGACAGATAGAAAGAGCACGTATTTTGTGTCTAGCTTCTTCTCTGTTACTCTCCGATAGTGACAAGAAGCATTATAAAGTAATCTCAAGCAGGCATGGACATGGGCCACCCTAAACCTTTCCCCCCACGATCTGCTGCCAACACCCCCTCCCCCAAAATAAAAGATCAGTCCCGCCCCACCCACTCTAGTTTAATAAAAGTACGGAACATGTAGTCGGTAAAGCACTGGATGACCATTAACAAGCTCAAATTAAATGATGATAAGACTGAGCTGCTCCCCATTGCGACCGCTCAGAAGCAGAAATCTGCAAATAACACGACATCCATTACTCTCTCAGGTGTGCGTATTGAGTTAGCTCAAACAGTGCGGTACCTGGGTGTCTACCTAGATAGAAGACTAACTTTTGAAAGTCATATTAACATGCTATGCAGGGCGATTTTTCTGGAGCTGCGCAGGATTAGTCAAATCAGGCCCTTCCTAACAATTGATACAACAAAGAGGCTGATGTCTGCATTTGTGCTATCACGCATGGACTATTGCAATGCTCTCATGGTGGGTCTTCCAGCTACGCTCCTGGATAAAATTCAAATAGCACAGAATAATGCGGCTCGCATAGTTCTCCGCAAACGCAAATTCGACCATGCAAAAACACTTCTGAGAGAGTTGCATTGGCTGCCGGTGCGTGCTCGCATAGAGTACAAAATCGCAACTTTGTGCTACCGCTGCTTACATGACCTGGCGCCGTCCTATCTGAAAGAGCTGCTGACGCCTTATGTACCCAGTAGAGAGCTCCGCTCATCCGATAGTGGCAAACTCTCGACACCACGTGTTTGCCTTGAGACTTACGGAAAGCGCACTTTCGCATTTGCTGGTCCAACAATTTGGAACGCCCTTCCTGTCGATCTTAGAAACAACCAGACACTGGAGTCCTTTAAAACAGATCTAAAGACACATCTATTTCGCAAATACCTTCTGGGATGATTGTCTACCTTATTTTCCATGTGTTGCTGTGTTGCTCCGGGTTGAAATGGCTAGAAAGACTTTGATATTGTATGCTTGTAATTAGTTTTTGTAGTGTTGCGTTTGTTTTAAATGTGGTGAATTATAGATATGTTTTTTGTTGCCTTTGTACCGCGCTTCGAGCCTTTGGAAATGAAGCGTGTTTTTGAAATGAACTTTATTATTATTATTATTATAATTTATTTACTTATTTCTTTGCTTTTCATTAAAAATATGTTTCTGCTTCTTGATCTTTCTTTTGAAGTTAAAAAAAGAAATAAAAAAGAAGTAACATTACAATATGCACCCCCGG